CAGAGCACTGCGTGCTCTTCCTTATTTCATCATCTTAAAAGAAAAGTAGTTCTTCCTTTGCACCATATTCAAACTGCCCAAACTAATTTGAGAACTGTACAGAAGTATGATGCTAAAGTCTCATTAAATACTGCACAGCCTGGCTTCGGTTCCCGTTTTATGTTTGCAGCTGGGCACAGAGCGTAGTCTTTCAGCTTCCAATGCTTTTTTTTTTGGTAAACAGCAATTAAATGGGTTCTGTTCTCTTGCTTTCCTTTACCAGTTTGATTCTTGTAGAACCTTTTAAAGGTGCAGTTGAACAAATAGCATTTCCTGGGGAGGCATCCAGCAAATGACGTGGTTATTTGTTATGGTCAAAGACAGCTGAAATCTGATCGAAGCACATTTTGCAAGACAAAAATGATACTGTGGTCAATGGAAGAATTTTGAAGAGCTGACAGTCGTGAATTTGTCTCCTTTGGAAATGACAAGCCCAAAGTTAGTTATTTAAATTAGTAATAAAACATACTCTTGGGTTAATTTAATGCACTGAGGTCTGATATAGTGGCATGTGCAAGATCGTATCTGGTTGTCTAGGGAGAGTTGTGCTAGGTCAGTAGTCCTCTCATTCCTACTGCATCACTTCTTGGCTTAACTGTGGCAATACAGTGTATGTAGAATGAAGTTACCAGTAATAAAGAAATGTTAGTTCTGTCATAACCGGCTGTGGCACAGGTGTCTACACAGGAATGATGATTAAGTTCCGTCTATGTAGAGTCTAATCTAAGAGCATCTTTTTCAGAAACTACTTGAGAACTCTCCACCACGTGGTCCAACACTCCAGATTTATGGACCTTTGCTTCTTAACGAGACAAACATATAGCAAAGTGTGTGTGTGTGAGAGATTATGCACATATGTGTGCACACGGGTGTTGTTTTTTTTTTTTTTTTAAGAAAGAAAACCTTTCAGTATCTGATCAGCCTACTCAACTACATGTGCTGCATTTGAGGGTGAAGTATGTTAGCTGTGATTTTTAATGGTGATTACTAGAGGTCTAGTTTAAGAGCTTGCATAGGCTAGAATTGCTAATACTCTTCAGCCATTATACAGAGCTGGCATATACTCAGTCTTTGCCAGGTGGAAATACAGCATATGCAAGTGATGCAGTTGCTGACATCGCCAGCACGCCTGCTGCTAGATGTTTTTCACTTACCTGATGCTTGCCTACAGTCTGAAATGTGTATGTGGTTCTGTTTTCAAATATTCTAGCCTATCATATAATCTAGAAGTCACCATTAACACCTAAATCATACCTGTTTTCATCTGCTCAGTAGCTGTTTTCATGCTTAGAATCTCTCCCTGTCCTTTCCATCAGTGCAGGCAGTTAAGTGGGAAACCTGGGACTTGTGATGGTTATTCTCACCAAAGGAACCTCTGTCATTTTATAGGAACTTTCATTTTTTTGACTCAAGTAGAGTTTTATTTCTCTTACTTATAAGACTTTCGCATGTTTCTATAACAGTGTGCGTAGAATTGGAAAACAAGGTAAGAAGGGGTGTCGGGAGGTGGTCTGCTCTATACACCTGTCTAAGGACAGGCATATTTACATCAGTGTTCATCTTGATACATACCATAGTTTCTCTTAGAACTTCGATTATTAAGCTTCTAAAACACCCCTGGTCAACACCACTTATAATATTTAACTGTCATTACTACTAAAAAGTGCTAGATAAAGGAGTATTTCTAGTAGCTAATACAAATTTCCCTTAAGCTTATTAGTTGTCCTGCCCACTACAGACAAGAATATTGCTTTCCTTTTATGCAGCAACTTTTTGCACATTAGATGTATTTTTGCACATCACATCTCTCATCGTTTTTTCCTTTCTTCAGTTAAGCTAAAATTAAATCATCATGATTACCACTCCTGATTTCCCCCCTAGCCCATTTTTCTCAAAACTTTCTTGAAGGATAGAGCCCAAAACTATACACAGTGCTGCTGGGTTCCTTTTTTAAAGTTGCTTTTTAATACCGTTTACATGGAGAGGATCAGATATCACAGTCAACTTGTCTAATAGTTTCTCTAGAGCCTGTAGAACTCTGCCTCTGCTGAACTTTGTTCCAGTCTCAAAACAAGCTGTGCAGTGACACCATCTGGTTTATTTTTGCCTATATAATTCTTCCTCATTTAAATTGCTGTTGCAGCCTAATTCAGTTTAATCTGCTTTATAAAAACCCTCTCCTTTGCTTGTAATAGCTTTGTTTGTGTCCTCATTTGGTGCTGCCCACAGAGGGTTTCCATTTTCAGAAACGGAATTGGCATTTCTCCCACAAGAAAAGTTTGTGGGGAGAGGGCAATATACGTTATCAGGTTAACTAATTTTGAAAGTGCAGAAAGACTTTCAGCTCTGAAATAGCTGCAAACTTTGAAGCTAAACATGGGTTGAGAGCAGTCATTCTGAGTTTAACGTAATTAGCTTAATCATATAGTTTAAGAGAATATTTCTGCTGGTTAAGTTTGCAATGATGAATAAAAGAACCATGACAAGTATGTTTTTTTTCCTTTTTTTGTTATGATTCACTTAGAGATTCTTCATGATGATGGTTTGTTTAGAAAAGCCTTAAAAAAGAACTCATTAATGCAATAAAAATAAAGGCAAAATCAGAGGCAGTGTAGCTCTCTTCTCATTTTTGGTTTTCCAGCATAGGCAACGAGAAATGGGTAAACTCTTACTGAATTAGGAATTAGTAAGCTTTAATTGCTTGTATTGTCTGTGATGACCATGAAATACTAGATTCCTGAAATACAAGCATGAAAATCTGATGACTCATTTGTTTTTTCTTTCTAACCAAACACCTGTAATAGTTTCCTACCGAAGGTGATAATTTTCATATTGACAGTCTTTCTGATAATAGCACATGAATTTGACCTGTCATTGCAGCATTTGATTATACAGGCTATGATTGGAGGAGAAGAAAAAAATCAGTTACCTCAGTCAAAACCAGTGAAGATTAATGAAAGGGAAAAAGATCAAGCTATTGCTTTTTCTTGAAGAGGAAACTTTGGTAATTCTCTGCTTCCTGTTGCAATTCAAGGATTCCAGGAAAAAAATCTCAGAAGGGATTGAAATGAGTAAACTGGTACGGTTCATGCAGTTGATAGAATAACTTGGCTTACATACCACTGTGACTACCTAATTTGAAAATTCAGAAGACTTGTCTGTTGCTAGAATTCACAATTACCGTAGCTGAAATACTTTGTGACTTTGAAAATTAGAAACTAATTCTTAAACATAAACCAGAATTTAGCTGCAAGAAGGAATGATTTACCTAGTAAATTTACTACTTTATTTTATGATAACTGCTTGTGTAGCTTTTAGTGACCAGTACTTGTAAGGGTACCAGAATGGATTTGATTTTTGCAAAGCAGTTGCGGGGAGAGGATAGGGGGAAGTCTTGGGATGTGTGTGTTTTGCCAGAACAGATCTTCCTTTGATAAAGCTGCTGTGCTCAATGAGATACTGACACCAAAGCTGTCCATTTCTTTAAAGTGATTTATTAAAGATATATTGTCTGAAAAACCCATTTATAGTTTTATGTTGAAAGCAGCAAGTGCTTTTGGATAAAAAAAAAAGAACAAGAGTATTTTTTCACTCTCCATTTCGTTTTCAAGAATGGAAAAATTCTTCAAGGTTAATTTTGATGGTTTTAATTTCAAATCAACGTTTTATGAGCAAATTAACTTATGTAAAATTAAACAAACATGAAAGCAAAACTGTTTGCAATGGTTCATTGATTTTCTTGGTGTGATTTTGGTGTTGGGTAGACTCGAGACTATTTGGCTTGTTTTGCAGTGTTCTCTGCCTCCTTGTTTTCCCCAAAATTCACTTCCTGAGCTTGAACAATCAGTAACTCACACCATTCAAAGACTGTCATCTTGTGGAAGCACCTTTTTTCTTATGGACTTCCATGAAACTCAGTTTTACCTCTTTTTCTTTGTCAGTAATGCACATTAAGAAGTTGACCAGGAACTGTAGAGTTATATACAGTTTTGCAAGCAAGAACTTAAATAGTTAGGCATACTGACTCTGAGGAGGAAGTCAGGATTAAATAATAATAAAAAAAATACTGTGACTAGGAAATGAAAAGCATTTCATTGTTACTGCATTTACAAAAATGGTAGAAATTTTATGTGATATGTTTTTCTTAAAGTTACTGCAGTTGAATGTGAGTTACAGAAATGAGCTGTGGTGGATTGGGTTTGGTTTTTTTTTCCTCTTCCCTGCTAATGGGCAGGGAAGCATCAAAGTGCAGGGAGGTTCTTATAATTGCATATATAAGTATGGTCTCTTTGAATAACCTGTCTGCCAGCCTTGTTAGGAATCTTATTTAGATGGCACTGTTCATTACCTTTGTTAATAAACTAGTCAAATAATGACTTGAAATCTGTAGATAAAGTTGCACTTGTAGCTGAGCTGATTTAACAGCTTGACATCTTCTACCTGTATTCCTTCCACCTCCCCTTCTACCAGCTCCATTCAGAACGCTCTAAGATGCTGCAACCCACTAACGCTGTGAGAATACTAGACCAAAAAAAGTTCTTTGCCAGCTTATGGAGCTGGATCAGTTTAGGAAAAGGTCCAAAGAATACCAAGCATGGCTTCATACTGGGACGGGTCATAGAACTAAAAGTTGGTGCATGGGGAGGAAGGAGGAGCTTAGGTTTTGAAGAGGATCAGATTCTTCATCTCTTGGTGGAGGTGGGCTATTAAATTGACTCAACTGTATGTAATGCTAGTGTTTGAGAAGTGGAATTGTACAATGTGTTTTTCATGGAAAATCAGTGTTCAGAAATGACAGTAAATTCTTTTGAGTCTGTGTGATGTGTGCCCCCATTGCTCCCAGTCAAAACTAAATGAATGATTTGAGATGATCTGTCCTCTTAAAGACTACAAGTATTTTCTTGTGATCCATTTCTGTTACTTTTATAGAAAGGTTTGTCTTTTTTTTGTTTGAATTGCAGACGCAGTAGCTACCAGAACCCGGAATATGACCTCACCAAAATCCAAGAAAGGCACAGCAACCAGAAAGAGAGTCCAGAAATAAATAGATGGAACAATAAATTAAGTTGCTTTTTGGCTCACCTCTGGGCTTTTGTCAGTTGCTAAACACGAGAGACTTTTTCTTTCCTTTTTAAACAATGAATCCTGTAAAAACACGACTGCTGTTTGTACCTGGTTTTGAAGAATAAATGTTTTATTAACATATTTGCATAATTTATGTATAGTTAAATACTAATGCAAAATTTTCCAACTTTGAAGTGAGGATGCATTTTTATTTTTTATATGCAAGAATTCATATCTTAAAGGCAAACTAAAAATGCTTTTTTCTGCTTTATAATGTAGAAATAAAGCCTTACTTAGTTTCCTTATAGGTATTTTAGAAGGAACAGGTAGTTGTTGCATCTGATTTCTTCTGATTTTGAGTAAAGTCATATTGGAGGTCACTTAGATGTACACTGAGATGAAGTCTGAAATGGTAGAGACATCTTTTAAGTGTATCTCATGTATGAATAAAGAAAGAGGATATAAGACAAGAATCTCATCATTCCATTCTAGTTTGTTATAAAGTGCATTTCAGCAATTCTTTGGAGGACAGGTAGTGAATTTTTTTACATAGTATTTTTGTTTATATAACTTTTCCGATTACTCAGAGTTTCTCCAGGAAGAAAGAGACCAGATTTTTAGACAAGGCCCAGGGCAAAGAAAAGAGCCAAAAAAAGCCCAATGCCCATTCTCAATGCCTCCCTCAGATTTTCTATGTTAGTGAAAAGGCTAGAAAAGTTATAATTAATAATAACTTTGTAAAGTATCTTGTTCCAGTAAAAGTTTGGCTTGCATGTGCTTCTCATAACAAAATGGTGATTTACCCTTTTTTAATAGTTGAGAAGCAAGTAATCTTCGAAAACCTTTCTTAAAAGTACTTCCTTCCTCAGTTTTGATTCTTCTCTTCAGAGTTGTGAGACAAAAAATGCAGTGTTTAATACCAGTGAGATACCACTTCTTTTCATTTAAATACTGCAAAAATACTTAGGGTATAATTAGGGCATGAACATCATTCTTGTCAGGGAGAGTGCTTTATGTATTTTAGCAAACCAAAACGAATCCATATGAGCCAATGGGTGGTGTATTTGTGTGGATGTCAAGTGCTCTGCTTGCCTGATTGTATAAGGTCTGAGTAGCTACTGACTGAAATAAATATGTTGTAGCATAAAATGTTGAATGAATGATGAGGCCATGTTTTGAAAACAAGGGAATCAGTTGTTTTGAAATAAAACTGGAATAACATATTTAAAAGGTGTCATGCCTCCTCCTTTCTGTTCTGACTGCTGTACAGGCTCATTTTCCTGGGTATTAGCAAAGTGTGGCTGACGACTGTAAGCTTGGCATTCTCTTTGTTTCAGATGTAAAAATAGGACTGCTAAAGCCTCTCTTATATTTAAAACTCCTCAAATCAAACTATCATTTTAATGATTTCATTTAATCATTCTGTTCAAACAGTATGTTAGACTATTCTGAATAACTATTGTCAGGAAAGCATATTGTATTCTCTTGCTTGTCTTGCATACTCAAAGTTAATGTTGTTCTTTTGTAATTCAGTTGTTGGACATTTTAATTTTTTTAGTGACTTATTTACCTTCTTTACTTTCCAAGTTTCAAGGACTGTGCTTTCTTTTGACACTACCAAAGCCGAATACAACAAACAGACATTTCCATTTATTTATAAAGAATGTTTTGAGGTGCAGATTTCATAAGCCACTTCTACCTCTTCCCACCCCAAAAATATCCTTTGTACTGGCAAGTGTTCTGTGAAGAAAAAGGGTGCTTTCCATTCTAGGTCAATGTTGTTTTGGGTCTTGTCACTGCATACAGGAGACTCTGCAAAGCTACAGTCTTCATGGGCAAGAATGCCTCTGGCTCACTGCAAACTGCAGTGATGCTTGAAGTGTGGGCCAGTCAGGATGAGCCAAGTGGAAGGCTGTGATAATACCTGCAGTACTTCCGTATGTATTACACACAGTCTGTGCTTGCACACATGTATGTTTGGTATTTTGCAAAACAGTGATGGGGAAATACAGCACTTTCTAAGAGGCGGAGGGTGTAGTAGAATTTTGTTGACATCCCTGTTTGAAAGTAAAGCCCCTAACACAAAAGAAGCAAGCTGCCTTTAGACTGCATTTACTGCTCTTGATGACTCCAGTTGTGTGTAAATATTAGAAAACAGCAGGGTCCTGCATTCCAAGAATCACTTGAGCAGTGCCATGAAGACAAGTGTCCTTACTGGTATTGTAGTCATACTCCCAAGCTCTCCTGCTGTTTCTAATCTGTGCGCACAGCCGTGAAAAAACTGGACTGACATTTACAGGCACAGCGGGGAAACACTTGAGTAGGGAATGTTAAAGACTCCGCTACCTATGTTTCAAAGTGGCCACCATACATGATAAATCTTCACAGGAGAACTAGTCGGCACTTCAGCTGATGGTGTAATGAGGATATTGATAATGAAGCACAGAATGTTTCTTTAGTGCTTGAACATTTTGCAGACAGATTGTTTATAATTTTTTCCCCTAATCTAAAATATCTGGAGAGAGAATCAAATTCGGGATGGGTATAAGATATTTTTTAGATGGTGCCGATTTGATATTTTTAGCAGGAATATTTCCCAGTCAGTTAATGTAAAATAATAACATAATTCCTGCTATCTGTTGCAGCTAGCATTAAGAAGAGGGTCAGTTGCTTTCTTGAGTAGTTTGACAGACTTTTCTCACTGTTTTGTCCCAGTGAGCTGCCAGATTTGGGATGCCATAATACCAGTAATGCAATTAGGTTTTCTGCACGTTGTCTGGTTGACTTCTCAGTTAAGAGTTTCTTTCCCTTTGGGAATAAGACTAGACAGACTGTCATTTGCTATTACTAATTCTGCTTAGCATTATCACTGGAGCTTTTTTGTAATTAGCTATCTTAGTTGGCTCTTAAATTTTAATAGCCAATTGAAGCTACATTTTAGCCAAGTTCCATATCTAAATTGCATTCAGTCCATTAACAAAGTTGGTTAAAAGGCTATTAAAACAAAAGCCAATATATGGTGGTTAGCACTTAGATGTTTGCAGCAGTAGTAGTACCAGCCTCCAATGAATATTCTCGAGAAATGGCACTTCCTTCTAGCAAAGGAAATGCACAAAGAATGACCAAAGTTTGTTTGGGGAACAAAGGCAGATTATGCAGAAAACTTGCAAAAAAAAAAAAAAAACAAACCAACAAAACCAAAAACTGAAGTGTGTTTTCTGGAAGGTGGGAGAGATACGGGGTGCAGAAGGGGGCAGTTAATACTTCTCAGATTTGACAGGTTCTGGAAAAGCCAAATAAATGAAGTGATGTTTTTCTCCATTTCAGCTGATCAAAATTATTAGCAAAACCATCTGAAGCACCTTCTGGTAGAATTGTCATCTTGCTGAGTTTAGTTTGTAAAACATCCTGCCAGACATTAAAAAAACTGTAAGCATGCCAGCACATAGGCTCAGAGCACGGCTTCTCTAATTGATAGACCCTATAATTTTCTTTTTTACTGAAGACCATGGCTGGATACCTCAGCCTCCCGAGTAATTTAACATAGCATCAGCCTGACTTTTTTATCCCTAGTAGCATTTGTCTGAATTAGATTTTTCTTCTGTTTTCTTTCTTAAGGTGTAGACAGGAGATTAACAGCCTTTGGATCATCCTGTGACAAATAATGGCTTTCTCAGACTCAGAGAAAAGAAACCTTTACTGTTGTAAAGACACCAGATACTAATACTGCTACAGTTTTAATAGAAAGCCTACCAGTTGCTGATGGTTTGCAGTGCCCTTTATCGGTGGTGATAGCTTAGTATCAGTAGCTTCATTATAGGAAGTGTGAGGCAAACCCCAGATTATGTCTGAATAACCAGTGTATGTATGTTTTTAACATCATATATACTGGGACATCTAAATTAGAGTTTTCACAGTGGACCAGTTCCATTGTTAAACAAGATGCAGAGCTGGTGCTCACTGAACATGATTCAGATCCTGCTGCTTTTAGCTGCACTGCAACATCAAACTGATTGGAAAACTGTGGTGGTAAGTGCCAATCCCTTCACCTCCTGTGCTGTTGTGGGGGTGCTGGGCTCTTTGCAATGGTGCAGTACTCGGAGAAGGAATCTCTTTTCTCTCTTTGAGGACTTATTTTCATGATGTCCTTTCTCATAGGCAGGGAGAAAGCAGGTGTGGTAAGATCGTCGTCTTTGGAAATTCCTACAGTTCTAGTTGGGATCTCATGGATAGCCTTATGCAGCTGCATGCTAACTCACATGCAATTCGGTATTCTTCACTTGTATTTTCAAGATTGAAAGGCTGAAGATTTAGAAGGGTGATTCCATGAATTCTTTGCTGCTTCATTTTAGGCTTTTTTCTCTGTGGATGATACCTCTATAGCAACAGTTCTGGGTTGTGTGGTGGGTTTTTTTTTTGGGTGCTTTTTATTTATTTGTTTGTTTATTGTTTTTCCTTTTCTCCTGAAGGAATATATAGAAGAGGAAATATACTGTGTCTGTGATATGAGTTTTGCCTGGATGCAGAGTGAGACAGACAACTTAGAAAAATGAGAAAAATGCAACAGGCCTAACTGGGTGCTACAGACTAGTTTTCTCCACACTGACATGCCATGTTTTTAAACATGTAATCATCAGCAGTACTGCACTTGTACTTCTTTCTCATTGTCTGTGTTTCATCTTATCCCAGCCAAAACCTGCCTTCTTTCAGGCTGGAGCATATCCTGCCCATGTAGGCTTCTATGCCAGATTTTAATGCCTTTGCATTTAGTTCTACCACTTACAAATACCTGATGTATTTTTAAATGGACCTCAAGTTCTATAACTACCTAAGCTGCTGACAAGTGAATCCTGACAGCTTTTTCTTCACCACTGTGAGTGCTGCAACAAGCCAAAATTTAGGTTTCGCATTTTCTAAGGGATACCCGAAAGGGTAAAACTGTTGTGGAGGAACTGTCATTTGATGAGAGAAAGATTGCCT